CGCCTTGATGTTGAGAGATGGACCTTGAAGCCAAATATTCACATTCTACGCTGAGAAGGTCTGCCCCATAAAGCAGCGAATGGGCAGGAAAGTGAGCTTGTGAAAGAAAAGCATTGATGCCTCATGTGACAGCTGTGAGAATGATGGATTTGATATGCAGGACAATTAGGAAAGGGATTAAAAATAAAAGTGCCAACATTCTAATACCGCTGCATAAATCTGTTTTACAAGCACACTCTGAAAACTAGGCTCTGTTCTGCCCAGTGCACCACAGACAAGATAAATGCGGAGCTGGAAAAGATGTAACAAAATTGGAGCAAAACAATCATGGAGCTGGAATAACTTTCTAGAAGGCAAGCTTACCAGATCTCCAAATCCATTTGGAGAAAAAAAAGGGACAATATAATAGAGGACACATTTAAAATGTGTGTGGTATTCTGAAAGCGGATAGGGTGATTTTTCTCTCAGGCTTATCATTCAAAAAGCTGGACTCACGCCACGAAGTTGAAAGGTGGAAATTCAGGACAGATGTATCCATGCACTTTTTCACACAGTACATCATTAAAGATGGAGGATTTGCTAGCATCAAAAAGCAAGGACGGCTGCCAAGTTGGACTGCTTTAAAGAAGGATTGGACAAATTCAAGGATGATAAAGCTATCAAGGGCTATTAGGTCACATTGGCCATCATCCGACAGTGAAATGCCATGTGTAGGAGAAATAGCACAAACAGTGTTGCTTGAGCCCATTATTATGTGACCTGCACTCAGGGAAGACCGAGAACAGTTCCTGCCCCTCCTTTGTACGACTACATTTCAGGTATTTGAAAAGTGCTATCCTATCTCCCCATAGTCTTCTTTTCTCAAGGCCAAACGTGAAAGTCAAGGAAACTACTTCGGAGGCAGAGGGTTCAGCTAAAAAATACTCTGGAACAACCATTGGTGATTCCTTGTTTAGATTTCTTCCTAATGCTATTTTTCTTTTAATGATTTTGCTTGATCTGGAAGTTGACTCATGGCAACTGGATTCTTTCTTGTTAGGTTGAAACGTTTTGCTACTCATCCAGGAGATTCCTGATATATCCTCCAGGTTGGTTTCACTTCCCCCTGGTCTGAATAAGCTCATTAGAAGGACTGCACACATCAGAAAGACCACTGTTAATTATCGTTAATGAGCCATGACTATGGGTGGAGGACTGCAGAAGTGGGGTTATCACTCAGCCTCAGTCCTTTGCCCTTCTAAGGACCCTATTCAGACCAGGGGGAAGTGAAACCAATGTGGAGGAGATATATCAAGGCTCTCCTACCAACTCTTCTCAGACTGAAGAAGCTGCTTTGATGAGTAGAAAAATGTTTCAGCCTAACAAGAACAGTTGCCATGACTCAACTTCCAGATAACCATACCTGGATGACTGAGAATCTTCACAGATAAATTTTGCTTGATGCAGGTGGTAATGTGCTCCCCACTTAGCTGAGTGAGCTGACCGGGAGACATCATAATAGCTATAGTTCCATTATCTCCAATTAACAGTTTTGCATTTTTCCTGGGTACGCGTTGGGTGGCCAGGCATGTAACTTGAGTGCAATACCGGAACATGTTCCCATGCATGTGTGGAAGCTGGAATTATTGTGCACATCAAGTTATACAGTCTGGGGTTTACACTGTGCAGATCTAATGGGCTTCTGGCCACTGGTTATATGTGACTTAACAATGCTTAGTAGGAAATGACAGCGAGAGAGGGCTCCTTGTTTCCACGTTTTGAGAGGCATCTTTTTGGCCACTGTGAGAAACTCAACAGAATGGACTTGCCTCTGCTTCTTCCAAAGTTCTTCATGTGTCCTACCTAATTAATTAATTACAATTTTATACCACCCCACTTAGTGAAAACCCACCACTTCGATTTGTTTCCATACAAACAGAAATCACCCCCACTACCTATCCCCCAACTTTAGAATTTTTTTAAAAAATGAAATCAATAACCCCTCAAAGGTAAATGTAATGTTCCCCATTTAATCTCGTTTTCTAACTTCACTATTGTTCACTGACTAGGGGTTGATGAAGCTGACGAGACCTCCTTCACACAAACCTTCAAGGCCTATGGATAGGGAGAGTACATATCTTGTGATGAGATCAAGTCACCTACACAGAAATGGAGCACAAGGCAGTATACTATGGCTAATCATAACTACAACAGACCTGTTGACTCCATGGCCAGCATCTTACTGGTGTGTACGTCTGTGTAACCTGCAGCAGCTAATTGCCGCTACTGGGACACATCTTGTTCCTGTTTCTGTGTCCAACGATGCAATCAAGGTGCACGTCAATTAACTGCAATTAGCGGTGGCAAGTTTCCAATCTTCCGCGAACCCCAAGAGAATTCCAGCCCATGGGATTTACTTAAGGGTTGACCTACTGTTCAGCTGTTGATTTTAAGGCTGTATAGTTTTCATGGTAGTTAAGTTTATCCACACCAAGGAAGAGAGGCTGGGTCCACTGGTTGCGATGCTGCAAATGAGACGCCACACACGCACAGAGACAAGTTGTGGCCATTAGTTCAACCCAAATACTGCAGGAAGCCTTTTTTTAAAAGAGCTGCTATCCAAGGTCCTGAAATAACCTTCTTCCAGGCGTCTAAATCCGCTATTGTTTTCTTCAACAAAGAAGATGGTCTGTTTGCCTTTGTGCCATCCTAATATTCTCTAGTTCAAAAAGGGAACTATGGAGGAAATTGGAAATCCTAAAATTAGCTCGTTCTCCTGGGCTATACAGAGCTATACTGCAACAATCATTGTTGTCTACAAAGGAGGAAACTGGGTCTTTTGATTAAGAAGGCTACTCTGTTCACAGGGAGCTGCTTTGTTCTTGACTGTTTTTTATCATTGCAATAACCTGGCGTGTGGGGAAGACGGAGGCTCCTGCACAGTCGGAACCACAACTGAGTCAGAGGCCTCCATACTGGTGCCAGCTGCTGCGGAAAACAGCAATATTGCTCTTTATAGCCCAGGAGGATAAACTAATTTTAGCATTTCTAGTTTCTGCAAAAAGACAATACAATCTTTAAAAGTTAAAAAAAGAGAAAAGGTCAGGATGGTCCAGAAGCAACAGAAGCATTTAGAGACGAGTGGCAGGGGGTCAATTGTAGAAGACAGCAGGTTTAGCATGGGATGGTGTTTCAAGATGGGTGGGTATGTGATCTCCTAAATGGAAGCTCTATCATGGTAGTAAAGTTTATCCACACCAAGAAAGAGAGGCTGGGTCCACTGGTTGCGGTGCTGCAAATTAGATGCCACATACACACACATACCCAAGTTGTGGCCATTAGTTCAACCCAAATACTGCAGGAAGCCTTCTTTTTAAAAGAGCTGCTATCCAAGGTCCTGAAATAACCTTCTTCCAGGCGTCTAAATCCGCTATTGTTTTCTTCAACAAAGAAGATGGTCTGTTTGCCTTTGTGCCATCCTAATATTCTCTAGTTCAAAAAGGGAACTATGGAGGAAATTGGAAATCCTAAAATTAGCTTGTTCTCCTGGGCTATACAGAGCTATACTGCAACAATCGTTGTCTACAAAGGAGGGGAAACCGGGTCTTTTGATTAAGAAGGCTGCTTTGTTCTTGACTGGTTTTTATCATTGCAATAACCTGGCGTGTGGGGAAGACGGAGGCTCCTGCACAGTCGGAACCACAACTGAGTCAGAGGCCTCCATACTGGTGCCAGCTGCTGCGGAAAACAGCAATATTGCTCTTTATAGCCCAGGAGGATAAACTAATTTTAGCATTTCTAGTTTCTGCAAAAAGACAACACAATCTTTAAAAAAGTTTTTTAAAAAAAGGTCAGGATGGTCCAGAAGCAACAGAAGCATTTAGAGACGATCGGCAGGGGGTCAATTGTAGAAGACAGTAGGTTTAGCATGGGATGGTGTTTCAAGATGGGTGGGTATGTGATCTCCTAAATGGAAGCTCTCATCACGTGCCCCCTGTTAATATCCAGTTCCATTTCTCTCAGATCATACTCCACTTACAACAGTATAGCGCCCATCTCATTATCTATTGTGATGGAATCGAGTAGATGCTCAGAATAATATTACTACCATAGTAAAGCAAAATGAGCTGTTTATAAACCACTATATGGCGCTTAAAGCACTCTCTGTTCAATTTACAATTTAAGTCTGCAGGCCACACATTGCTGCCTCCCCGCATGAGCTGGGTACTCCATTTACCAACCTTGAAAGGATGGAAGGCTGAGTGAACCTCAAGGTCCCTGGGATTGAGCCCAGGTTGTGAGCAGAGTTTTGGTCTCAGTACTGCAGTTTAACCACTGGGCAATGAAGCGAACCCCCTTCCTCTGAAAATTAATATACAGTAGTAGCTCAGTTTATGAATTTAATGCGTTCTATGGGACATTATGCAAAGCGAAAAATTCGTAAACCAAAATGCAGATTGCCATAGGAATGGGGGCAGTGCTAGAAACCTCCAGACACAATGTATCCTGGGGGAACTTCTTTCGTACTGCAGAAAAAACCCCTAAACGGAGGTGTTATTTTCAATGGATTTTTATTCGTAAATCGAAACCAAGGCATTCGTAAACCGAGGTACTACTGTAAACCGATTACATTGATTCCCCCCCCCCGACTTTACTATTTTGTCACATGGGGAACATCTTTACCATGAAGTAATTATGGGAACATTTCAGGACAGGGTGGATTTTATGTAAATCAGATTAGATTTAAAAAAAAATATCACAATTTAAATTTAAAAATCAGTTCTTTATGATTTAAATTTAAAAATAATAAAAAAAATAAATCATGATTTAAATCATGATACAAACCAATTTGATTTTTTAAAATCACTGATTTTTATCCACCCTGTTTCAAGATTTTCCCATCCTGTAGAATTATCTACCTGCAACAGAATGTTATTATACGGCTATGGAACAGAGATTGTAAGGCAAAAATTAGGAATGCAGAGTGAGTAAGACAAATGAAAGGCTAAAAGAAAACATAATTGCACCAGAATAATTTTTATTAAACTTTGAATCTATCGCCATTGCACATTATTCCTTATTGGGAGAGCGAGGTTGCACCTTCTCTCTCTTTTTACAGCCTTTTAAAGGCCATCAGTAATAGATTTTAATTTTATTTCATCGTAGATGGGTTTTTTTTTCTAGCACTCAGTAGAAACATGTCTTTAAACGAGCTGGACATGCATTTGCTTCCTCCTAAGTGGCAATTTGAATGCGTCCTATAAATATATCCAAAATGGCCACTTCAAGTCCATGAAAGAGCAATACTTTTTTTTCCTATAGGTGAAAATGTAAAGTCTGTAATTTATATTTCTACAGGCAGCCCCCAGGCAGTGGTAGGCTTCATTTTCTTTTCAGCATTAGGCATATAGATATATCACTGAAAACTCTAAGACTTTTTTTCCTCCTCCTCTTCCTCTTTGACTTTGGCAGATGTTGCTCTTGTTTTCCAACTTCACGGCTAAAATAGCTAGATGGGGGACGTACTCTGGAACTAACGCGAGTAGAAACTCTGATGAGGTTTGCTGTTCAGAGCTGCTAGAAGAGTCAACACAATCCGTTGGGTGCCATCTGAAGTAGCTGAAAGAGAGCGTTCTGCGTGGATTCTTGTCTACCGTAGCTGCTGACTTTCATTTTCTCCAGTACTAGGTGAGTGGTAAATGAAAAGAGAGAGAGAGAGAGAGAATGAACATGAATCATTATCACCATCATCAACATCATCAACATCATTATCATCTTTATTGCACCAGTCAAACTCCATGGCAAGATAGAACAGTTACAATCAGTCAGACTGACATAACATAACAGTAAAAACTGCTAAAACCGGGGCAGGAGACATAATAAATATGCATGCACGTTAGCTACCTTTTCGAACAGTACTTTAGATACTTTGGAAACAATACTTATGAGATAGATCAATCAGTTACAGGTGCATAAGTTACATAGCAGAGACGGGCACGAACTGCGGCTTCGCCCGGTTCGGCGCCCACATGGGTGTTCTGCATGCTTCTGCCCCCCTCCTCTGAGGGAATCGTCCACCCTCTGGCAGCAGGAGGCGCTTCCATCCTCTGCCTCCTCTGGGTGGCTGCCTGCCCAAAGCAAGTGTTGCAGGCTTCCCTGCCCTGCCTTCTGTGTCTGAGTGGGCAGCCGCTGGAGGAAGTGGGGGATAGGCTGCGGCCAGTGGTGGCCCAGAGGAGGTGTGGGGAGGGAAGCAAGCAGCGCCCACGGGACACCTGGGGAGGCCCTGTGGTGAGTCGGGCCGAACCGCCCTTTTTTGACCTTCTTGGCACAAGAGCACCAAACTACGGCCGTTTCCCAAACTTCAGGCAGAAGTTGTTCCGGAACTACAGATCTCAGATGGGACAATGGATGCTCATGGTTTCTGGAGCGCCACCTCTGGGATCCACAGGTAAACAACACATCTGAAAAACAGCCTTGTACCTTAATTTTATTACCATCCATGTGACTGCCTGAGGCTGAAGGTTGCCTAAGGCCACAGAGGGAGTGTGGGGTGCAGGTGCGATTCAGACTTGCAACTCCTGGACCTCCTTCTCTGCCATAGGGCCAATAATAATAATAATAATCCTGTACCGTCAAGTCAATGCTGACTTCTGGTGACCCTTTTCAGAGTTTTCTACGTAGAGAGTCCTCAGAAGTGGTTTCCCCCCTCCCTTCTTTTGGGGGTGCCCTGGGGCTGTGCCGCTTACAGAGGCCGGGTCTTCTCTTCAAAGGCCCAGTGGGGGAAACCGAACTCCCAACCTCTCGCCCCGCAGCCGGATGCTCAACTCGCTGAGCTATCTAGCCGTGATGATGCGACATCAAATGAGTGATGAACTAATCAAGAGGCAGGAGGTTGATGTCTGCAACCCACGCTTGCTTTTATGCTTTGCAGGCTTTTTTTTTTTCAGATTAAGTGCCTTTGCTTAATACAAGGTGGGAGAAAAGTTGGAACTGTTTCACATACTCCTGGCAAAGGGGCGATGACGACAACAACAATAATCCATGCAAAGTCACAAGATATTTTAAGGCCTGTCATTAGAACTGTTTTACATACTCCTGGCAAAGGGGCGACGACGACAACAACAACAACAACAATCCACGCAAAGTCACAAGATATTTTAAGGCCTGTCAGCATACCACATTGTCGATTTTAGCTCTTAACACTGCCGCTTTGAGAGTTTTAGAAGTGCTTCAGATACAATAAGGTAAGTTTAGTCTAGTCGTGCCCAACTCTAGGGCGTATAAGGTAAGTTTAGTCCAGTTGTGTCCATCTCTAGGGCGCGGTGCTCATCCCTGTTTCCAAGCCGTAGAGCCAGCGTTTGTCTGAAGACAGTTTCCGTGGTCATGTGGCCAGCATGACTAGACATGGAACACTGTGGGCTTCCCACTGAGGTGGTACCTATTTATCTACTTGCATTTTTACATCCTTTTGAATTGCTAGGTTGGCAGGAGCTGGGACAAGCGATGGGAGCTCACTCCGTTGTGTGGATTCAATCTTACGATGGCTGGTCTTCCGACCTTGCAGCACAGATGCTTCTGTGGTTTAACCCGCAGTCCCACCACATCCCTATCAGATACAATAACCTGAGCTAATTCTTACAGAGCTGCAGAGATTGGCCATACTTATTATGACCCTTGTGAAGATCAGGTACAATACCCTGAGCTAATTCTTACAGAGCTGCAGAGGTTGGCCATACTTATTATGACCCTTGTGAAGACGGGAATATGAGACCAAGTTCTGCAGGCCACCCATGTATTTCTGCACACCACTCAAAGTATTCAAGACGCCTTCCAAAGCCCTTTGCAGCCTGGGCAGAAGTGAACAAATTCTTAGCCCTATCTTCCCATGTATGTCTGCTCATTTCTTCATATCTTTCCAGAGGAAACTTCCAGTCCCGTCACACTCACAGGAACATCTGTTGAAGTTTGGCTTGTTTATTTGGTACCTGCTTCCACATAGTGGAACAACCTCCTAAGTAAGGCTGGGCAGTCACCTTCCTTTCTATCTTTCTGCTGACATTGTTATTCAGACATGCCTTTGGCCGCTGACTGAAGGTGGAGAAAAAATATTTTAATGCTCCTTGGTATATTCTTTCCCCTTCTTTTCATATTTTTACTTGTTTTCTAAATTGTTTAACTCAGCACTTGTGGAACCCTTGTGAAACATTGGTTCGGCCCAATATCGAAGGGACTAAGAAAGAGAAGGGCTATGAGTAAGAGGTCTGAATCTCAGAAAGAGCGGGAGAGCTGAAGAGGGCGGAGCTGCTGTTGCCAGTTGGACTACTGAAGCCCTTGCCAACTTGGTTTAGGTATAATTTTTATGCTCATGTTGGAGGGGTGAATCCACCTAGTGAATCCATGAACTGCATACCATTGCACCGATATTATATTTTAAGGTTTTGAAGATTCTCCTGTGTTATGGATAGCCAACCTAGCTGAGGAAGGTATCTTGGATTTTTGTTTTGACTTTAAAATCAAAGGGGCCCTTAAACTCTGCAAGTTCTTCAAGCAGCTTCTGTGGTGCTACTGCTGAGAGCTTGCGTGCACAAACTCTAGTCCTTTATTTATACAAATAAAATTACAAAGAGACTTGTTTTGTGAAATCCTGTTTGAAAGATTTATCAAAAGTAAGCAAATAGCCCTATCAAACTTTAATACATTACATTTGCTTTGAATAGGCTAATCTATTGCCATTTTATATAGTTGTATCTGTGTTTTTTTTTTTTCCATTTCCCACGCTAGCAAGGTTATGCTCAAAATCCTCCAAGGTAGGCTTCAGCAGTATCTGGACCGAGAACTCCCAGAAGTACAAGCTGAATTCCGAAGGGGCAAAGGAACTAGAGACCAAATTGTTAACATGCGCTGGATTATGGAGAAAGACAGAGAGTTCCAGAAAAACATCTACTTCTGCTTCATTGACTATGCAAAAGCCTTTGACTATGTGGAACACAACAAACTACGGCAAGTCCTTAAAGAAATGGGAGTGCCTGACCACCTGATGAGAAATCTATACGTGGGACAGAAAGCAACAGTTAAAACTGGATATGGAACAACTGATTGGTTCAAAATTGGGAAAGGAGTAGGACAAGGCTGTATATTGTCTCCTGGCTTCTTTAATTTATATGCAGGATACGACTAAACAACAAAAATCTTTTTTTTTAACTGTATGTCCTGAGCCGTCTTGAATCCTATACCAGAAGGAAGGTGAGATCTTGGCCAGAATCCTGTTGCCCAACTACACAAAATGTGTAACTCTTAGGAGTGAACTGCTGTAAGCAAAGAAATCTCCAGAGACATTACCCATGGCGGTGCTGAGTTGTTTGATTCGGTATGCAACAGACAACGCTTGAAGAACTTTTTTTTTTTAAATTCATGTCAATTTGCCTCTCAAAAGCAATGCCTTTCATGTAACTGCACAACAAAATTTGGCGACGCACACCCCAGTCACTTAAGAGGAGTAAGTGAATTCCCAACAAAGATTATGATTAGAATTCCTGATTTGTAACTTCAGCCCTCTGTTTGTAACGTTCCTGCACTGCCAATCGAAATGACTTATCCAAAGCAACTCAGTGTGACTTCTGTTTTTTTTTCCCCTCCTTGTGCAGAAATCTGCTGGCAGGCTTTTAATTTAGATCATGTTGCAATCCTGAAGTGTAAAACTAGATCGAGAGGACAACCTGAATGTACTTCTTTCCTGCCGCATTTAACCTAATCATCCAGAGAGGCAATACGTTCAGTTCTTGTATTATATATGTTGGTAAATCTGTTCTAGATTAGTTCATTTGGAATGGAAATACTACGGGCTTCAGGTGAGCTGATTCCCGTTTTCCCCCGCTGGTCACATGGCAAAACAGGAAATATGAATCTGCCTGGAGGGTGGCCTGGAACAACAAGGTGGTCATTTGCACCCGCGCAGAATGTTCTCCCTTTGAAACTTGGTTCACGCCTCTGTCTGCCTCATTTTCTACTAATCTGCATTAAAGGAGTGTCACTCGGCCAGCTGCCTCCTCCGATACATGGCAATTCTCTCTCATACCACTAGCTCTAGCACAGGCTTTAACAATTCAAAGCATGTTTCTTCCAAACACAGCATCTGGCCCGGAGTGCCAATCTGATTAAAACACAAACACACACAGACAGAGGAACACACAGCTTTTCTTTCTTTTCTTAAGCGACACGATCGTGCGGACGGATCCCCAATGGGAATCCGTCTTGTGTTGCTGGAACATTTTTCTAAGGAAAGCACCAAAAACCCACCTGCAAAAACAGAGCTAAGAGGCTTCTGTCGGCAGTTCCTAGTTAATTAAACTCGATATCCATCAGTAATAATATATATTTACTTTTGCAAAAAGAGGCTCATAAACTGTGGTAGGAAAATAATCGGGGCGACGGCGCACACTTGTTGAGATAAGAGGTTTTAATAATGCCAGCTGCTGGTAGAAACCCTTGCATTTCATTAGCTTCACATGTCAGTTTGTGCAGGAGTTGGAGCAGCAATTAATTCTGCTCCTAATTAAAAGATGACCCAAAGAACAAGAAGAAGGAAAAAAACCAATGAGCTTTAGGCAATGCATTACAACAGGGGTGGGCAATTAATTTCTATGAGGGGCCACATGAAAAATCTGAACTGTGTTCGGGGGGCCCGAACCAACTTTACTTAAAAATAAAATGAAACGGTGATGTTATGATTGTTTTTATTTTAAACTTGTTCATCTTCCCAAATACTAAAGAGTTTTTTTGCGGTATGTTAAAGGTAAGCAACTGATCAACTTTAGACAAAAACTATAAATGGTTTTGATGTTCAAAACTGTCCACGGACCAGACAGGAGCGGCTCGCGGGCCGTATGTGGCCCTCGGGCTGCACTTCACCCAGGTCTGCATTACAGCCTCTGGGTTTGTCTGCAACATGGGTGGCCCGGGGGTGGGGGGCCACACAGTCTAGACTTTGTAGAGGGCTGTACATGCTTCTGCCTCTCCCATCCTTTTGATATTTTGACTGGGAATTATAGCCTCTGGGTTTGTCTGCAATATGGGTGGCCAATGGCCAAAGTTCCTGGGAGTGGGGGGCCACACAGTTTAGACTCTGTAGAGGGCTGTACATGCTTCTGCATCTCCCATCCTTTTGATATTTTGACTGGGAGGGAGAGGGAGCCCCATGTGCCCGCTAGTGAGATTGATTTTTAAAAATTAATTTGGAGGCATGGAGGCCCTCAGGAGTTCTGGGGTTCTGTGCACTTAAAGATGGCACAATTGGCCCTGCTCCCTCCAAAGGACACATTCCCCTCCTTCCATGTTGGGAGTGTATGGAAGTACCGGAGGCTCTCATTTGGGCCCTTGGGGCTGTGCGGTGTCCACCCCAAGGTACACACTTAGAGGGGGAACACTTAACCTCGGTCCATTCATCCTTGCTTCAGCCACACAAACAGCAACGAGTCTGAAGAGAAAGATCCTGCCCACAGCACAGGTCGACACTTGAGCAAAAAAACACATGAGATTTCAGCCCTGTCTTTCTATTCATCCAAACACCCCCTCTCAAAATGGCCACTGATCACAGCCACAGGGGAATTCCATTCCTGGGGGGGGCTCTGTGATTCATGTTTCCATTGGGGTGGGGTGGGAGGATTCACTGGCAGTTAACCTGTCAATCCCCCGATGCTCTGAGCTTCCTAGTTCCAGGGGTTTAGCAACTGGAAGTCTGCAGGAGAGCTTGGGCTTTTCATTGGCACTGGAACTAGCAATCTCCTTCTCCTTGGGTTGTTCTAGCTCTGTCAGAGTATTACTACCATTATATCCTGTGTTCTGGACAGCTGTGATTTGATTCGACTGAAGTGCTGCTTTCGTTCTTTTACTTCGGACTTGTTCAAGATTGGGCCAAATGCCCAAATTTGCTTCGGATTCCAAATACTTCTTGAGCCCAAAGCACGCCCTCCCTTGAAGGAATGTTTAGCTTGACGCTTACACCCCATTCAGGTGTTTTCTTCCATAACCATGCAGAGGGAATTGGGGGTGCACCCGCCAGCCCTGCCTTCTTTGTTCCTGTCTTCTGAAAAAGCTAAAAAAGGAGGTGTAGCCATGTTTTGCTGAACACAAATGCACACTTCACATGGCCTCAAGGCCAGACCTCTCTGATCCCATGGATCTCTGCAACTACATCCCCTTGAACACTGGGTTATAATATCTTTTCAGACCTTACCTGGAAATACAGGAACATGCATGCAAAATGTATTACAAGGGAACATATAAAAGGAGTTCAGTGACCTTACAGGTTTCACTGCCATAAAAGCAACAACATATAACAGGAGTTCAGTCACCAGATCACTACCTTACAGGTTTCACTGCCATAAAAGCAAAGCTTAGAAAAGTTACTCTTTCAAACCCCAGAATTTCCCACATGCCTTCAATGACAGCTAGAGTTCTCTGAAGTTGAATGTTGGATCAAAACCACTCTGTATCTGAGCTGACGGGACCAGTAAGGCTTCCCGGAGATTCTTACCTGAGCAAACTTGTGTATCTGTTCTACCATGGCTGCAAAGAGTGCATGGACGCTTTCATCAATCAGACTCTGCATATAATGGACCGCTTCTTCATCAGAAAGATCCAGGCGGAACTTGTCCTGCACCTGGGAAGGAAAAATAAAAGACAAGGAAAAAAGGTAGGAGCCTCTTCCTGGGTATATGTTCCACCTTGATGAACAATAAAATCAGAGCTGGACACATCTGGAATGTGGTGCTGTGGAGAGAGCTTTAAGACTATCTAAAGCTTTCATGGGCTACAAGTCAATGGCACTGGCATCAAATAAGTCCGAACTTCCTCTTTAAAAAATGGCAAAATTGAGGTTGTCGTCATGAAAAGAGACACTGGAAAAGGTCCGGAAAAGCTGAAGGCAGAAGGAGGAATGAATGAATGTGAGATGAAACCACTCAATAAAAGAAGCCACCGCTATTAATGAAATTAATACAGTGGTGCCTCGTATTACAACATTAATTTGTTCCAGCGAAACCACAGTAGAATGAAAACGTCGTAATGCAAAATAAAAAAGCCCATAGAAATGCATTAAAACCCGATTAATGCATTCCTATAGGCTTGAAACTCACTGTCCAGCGAAGATCCTCCATAGTGCAGCCTTTTTCGCTGCCTATGCAGTGAGGAATCCATCCCAGAAAAGAGCAGGGAGCCATGTTTTTTACCCAGCGGCCATTTTTAAACCGCCAATCAGCTGGCCAAAAATCATCGCTTTGCGAGAATTGGTTCCCGAAGCAAGGAACCAATCATCGCAAAGCAAAATTCCCTCAAAGGAAACATCGTTTTGTGATCGCTTTTGTGTGAGATGAATGCCTCACACAAAGAAAAACTCGCAAGATGGAAGTGTTTTGCGATTTTTTTTGTGACTTGCAAGATGAATTTCCCCCCTTTTTTGGGTTTGTTTTAAATCGCACAACCGTTAGTACCGCGCTTCGCAAGATGAAATTTTCGCAATACGACATGACTCGCGGAACAAATTAATTTAGTATTGCGAGGCATCACAGTATTAATGAATGAAAGCTCCCTTTGGAGGTCATTCATTCAAAGGATTACCACATGTTGGAAGGGACTCAGTAGCATATAATGACACAAGCACTCCTGCATTCTAGCAGCTGCTAGGATCAGCGACACACTGAGACCCAGACAGTGTGGGAGCTTTTACTCCCCCATATAAGCTTTCACCCTGAGTGGCACCTTGACTGAACCAACATCCAGCTAGAGAAAGCCAAAAGAAATGAATGCAAGGATTGTTTTACATGTTCTTTGGCTATGTTTCAGGTGCAAGTGGAAAATAATGTGTCAAACCAGTACGTGTATGTGTGTGTGTGAGAGAGAGAATGAGAGAGACAGAACGGAAGGGGGGGCAATGATGCTGAAAACAGAGTGGCACTGCTTAGTGTTTAGCAAAAAGTGCCTTTCAGAAAACCTGAAGGCAATTTAAGGAAGGGAATGAGGAAGCAGCATAACAGATGACAACAGTGGTCTCGCTGTACGGTAGGGAAGAATTAGATTAGCTGGGATTACATTTTTCATCCGTGAATTAGTTAGCTGGAGAGGATGCTATGCTCGTTTCGCCTCTTCTGTCGACAGCCAGGTGGTTTAAATGCAGCGCTGAAAAACTGTCATGCTGGGCTCAGACGGCGTGCAAAGCGAAACAGCCAAAGTCTCACAGACAAAGAGGGAAGGAGACCACCACTTCCAAAGAGGCTGCCTTCTCCCCCCACTCAAGCAACAATACAGCTGATCTATACAGGGGAAAAATATCGTTCAAGGTTTTCTGAATCTCAATGTCCAAGAAAAAATGTTCAGCGCTCAGTGACCTGAACAACCACATAGAAGGATATGGGAGGGAGTCATCAGAAGCAGGTTCGGCCCACATCAAGAAATGTAGTTCATAAAATTGATCTTAAAAACCTGTGTTGACTTATACACAAGTGTATATGGTATATGTAGTCACAAACTTGCTCTTATAGCAAGTGATGAAACAAGAAGCTCAGCAGCAGAGAGTGGAGCCTGAGAGACTGTGCCAACTTGCCCCCACATCTAACCTCCTGCCACTTGTCCCACCATGCTCTACTGACTCACTCCACACACATATGCAAACCACTACATAACATACACACTTACACATTCTGAGCTGCACGGGGTGTTTTTTTGCATCAACACCAACCTGTGTAGGTTGAAGGGAAGGAAGCTCGGTATAGAGTGGAACACTCCATTCTATTGCAGAAGTTTCAAGTGTGTTTGCAGCAACACCAGCCTGGCAGGGATGTGCAGGCAGGGGAGGCAGAGCCTCGCCAGACCCAACAAGTTAAAAAAGGACAAAGACACAAGTGAAAAGAAAAACTAACTTGCCTTTTTGCAGCTCTCCTTTCTTCTCCAACACAGTCAGTGAGTTAAGCTCAAAACACACACACACACACACACACACACAGAGAGAGAGAGAGAGAGAGAGAGAGAATGCAATACAGAGAGAAGCAGCTGGCAGCCAATTCACTGCATCCATGGCTGACTTCCAATAAAATCAGGCAATCACTGGGGAGGCACCTGGCAGAACTACCTCAGCAGATTAGGTTGCCATCACAGCTGGCTTCCAATGAAAAACAAGTCGGGTGCCTGTGTCAGCAACTGCTGGGGAGGCAGCAGGCAGAGTTGCCTCAAATAGGCTGCAATCATGACTGGCTTCCAATCAAAAACAGGTAGGGTGACTGGCTTCCAATCAAAAAAGTCAAGGTGCCTGCATCAGCAATCACTTGGGAGGCAGCAGGCAGAGTTACCTCTGCTGTGTTCCACATAAGCCATCAAAGCAGCAGAGAAATGCTGCAAAGGGTCAGGCTCATGCAGCTTGGATAGTTCATTGATTCAGTTATCACAAACCCTTGAGGCTCCCCTTCTCATAGATTTCAGTCTGTAGCTCCCTTCAAATGTGCTGAGAATGGCTGGTCTAGATTAAACAACCTGAAGCTGCAGTGAATTAGGTGGGGAAAAGTGTACATGAAATTGACACTCTTGTGCATAGTCCCCCCCTCCCGTTCCCCACACACAGAGATTTAAAATGCTAGAGTTAAATTTTATTGAAGGATCTTATAAATCCTTTAAAATAAAACATGAATTACTTTCCTATGAGAGGTTTGTACAACTCCCTCCCTGAAACACACACACTGACAGCAGGAAAATAACTTTTATATTTATATGTACTTATTATTATTTTTTTTTGCCCCTAGGAGGCTTAGAACGAACTGGTTGATTAATTTTACTGCTGCAGCTGGTGATTTCTTTCTTTTTAAAAAATTAGCCCTATATTTCCAATGTTCTCATGAAATACCATTTAGAAATGTTTAAAACAAAGAGAAAGCCGCAAGTCCCCATACGGTGGCTCACCTCCTCTGATCCTTCTGGAGGAAGCGCAATTATAAATGGAGAGGGAAAGGGTTGACGAACACATGTGTGCGCCCAGGCCCAGAATGGAAGAAACCTTGGCAAGGTGACAATTTATATCCTGGGAGTCATAATAGGACCAAGATTAATGAACAAAGAATTCCACTTACAAAAGGAATCCATAAAGACAGGTAAGATTTCAGAATAGATTGTGGGCTAGGAGAGGAGGTGGAAGTGAAGCTAATTTAGTCCTCTGTCTTTGAACACCTGTAAAGTCATTTTATCTGAAACAAAGACTATTACAGCCAAGGGACAATGCCCTGCCTCTGGGTACACTCTGCATCCATGTTATTTGAATGTGGTTTTTTTTGCCCTGCTAATTTCTATTAGAACACCCTTTGTTTGCATGGTTATTAAAATTATTAATGCCTTCCTAGCTCACTGTATCTTGCAGGCAGAAGATGGGAAAGCAATTGAGATATAATTCCTCTGTATCTTCCACAGAGGCTGTTACAATTATCTCTCCTACAGCATCTAATTAAATATGGATTTTAGACCATTCATAAGTCCTGATGCTAAAGTGGAAAGAAGAGCGAGTAAAGAATTCATAAGAATTCAAGCCGTCAGTCCAACATGGGTGCAAGAATTAACAGATCAGAATTCAGTGTCTTTTATGGGCCAAATTCTGTATGTAGAGTAGCTTGATGGCACACTACTACTACTACTACTACTACTACTACTACTACTACTACTACTACTACTACTACTACTACTACTACTACTACTACTACAGTGGAGCCCCGCATAATGAGCACTTCATTTAACGACGAATCCGCATAGCGATGTGTTTTTTGCGATCGCATTGCAATGTTTTAGATGGGAAAACATCACTTTGAGATGATCAGTAAGCATTTTGCTTACTGATTATCACATAATGATGTTTTTTAAACAGCTGATCGGCAGTTCCAAAATGGCTGCCGGGTAAAGAAAATGGTCGCCCGCTGTGTTTTCGCACCCTTTCCTTGCTTACCGGGCAGCGAAAATGGCGGTCGCATGGAGGATTTTCGCAGAACCGTGAGTTTTTTGCCCATAGGAACGCATTAAACGCATTAAAGGCAGGCATCCAAATCTAGGCAGATCTGACACAGGGTTGCCCAATTTTCTCTTGAATTCCTCCAGCATAGAAGTGCTCACCACTTCTCAAGGTCATGGGTTCCATTGCTGTACTGCTTTAACAGTTAAGAAGTTTTTTTCCTGATATTCAACCGAAATCTCACTTTCTGTAACTTGAGCTCATGGTTGCAGGTCCTGCACTCTGGGAAGACTGAAAACAGATCCTGTCCTTCTTTTGTAGTACAGCCTTTCAAGTATTTGAAAAGTGCTGTCTTATCTCCCCACAGGCTAAACAGGCCCAATTCTTTCAGTCTTTCCTCGGGGCTTGGTTTCAAGTCCGCTGATCATTCTTGACCTCCTCTGAACTTCTTCCAATTGGCCACCATCCTTCTTGAATTGTTGTGTCTAGAGCTGAATGCAGTACTCTTGTTGTTTAGTCATTAAGTCGTGGCCGACTCTTGTTGACCCCATGGACCAGAGCACGCCAGGCCCTCCTGTCTTCCACTGCCTCCCAGAGTTTGGTTAAATTCATGTTGGTCGCTTCGATGACACTGTCCAACCATCTCGTCCAGTACTCAAGAAGAGGCCTAACCAGCATCAAATAGA